GGACTTACCTTGAATCATGAGGAGAAAGAGTAGAGGAAGAGGAGCCATTCTGACTGACATCACTGAGATGAGATTGACAGACAACACGCATAATCAATATGAGCAGGAATTATGCTTGTTTGTGTTCTTTATCATCAAGCAAGACTGTCTTTGTCAATGTGACATCAATGAGACCACATATAGAATCTTTTAAAAAGTCTTTATAATCAAACAAACAAACAAAACAAAACAAAAATAGATACTAAACGGGTCATACCATAGAGCGGGATACCTCATCTGGAGAAATAAGGAAGGTTCAAGTCCACCAGCCTCATTTATAACCAGACCCGCGTCATTTCCTCTTTTCTACCTCTCATTGGTGACATACAGATACTATATTTAAAAAGCTTTTAATTTTATATTTTTTAAATCCTAAAAACATCCTGTTTAATTCGATTTGCAATCCAAGATACCAACGTATACATTTACGATTGACTTTCAAGACGCATAGTAAACACACAGAAAAAAAAAAAACTATTTAAAGTCTTAAAATATAACAGTCTGCTGACGTTTGAGGGCCTACGTAGATCTATTATTAATAGAAGCAGCGAAACCTCAATAACAGGCAAACTGATGGTAATGGTTGGTGTTTCCTGTTTCACACACATGAGTCATTTCTCAGTTACTGGTTCAGGTAGTTTCGAGGCTTGCGTCACTATAAACATGCATGTCTATTCATGGCATGCTGTTATAGTTTATCATAGGCCTATATATACGTTTATTTGATCAATTCATTTTTATTTATACTATATATAGGGACAGTACAAAAAAACATGAGTCAAAAGCTGCAAAATCTGTGTTCGCAATTAGTAACAATGTTTATCAGTAATATGTGCATGCTACCCATCAATTATTTTAGATGTTTCCACTTAAAAGTTCTCAATTGCACCGTTATCTCAGGTAACCTCGATATTTCTACTCTTTTGGCTAAATAATTTAGTTGCTTGAATGATGTTATTACTACGAGAGGATGAAGGAGCAATGGCCACTAAGGTGCTCATATGTTAGCTTGTTCAAACTTCTGCAAGGATCCATGTGATACAAATAACGTTTCGGTTACGTATGTAACCCTCAAAATTTAGTTTTGGATTTCATGACCCTTTAAAGATCAAATCCCTTCAGAGTTAAAGGTGGGCTTTGGCTAAAAAAAATCCACCAAAGGTTTTGACAAATACTTTCTCTTGGCACATTTTTGTCAGAAGGGTCTCTGCACAAACCATGCCAAATTTCAAACAAATCCGATGAAGATTTTTTAATTTATTATAAGATATTTATTATTATTTAAGATTTTATTATTTTTAAAGGATTTTCTGAAAATTTGGTGAAAAATGGAAACCATGTGAACGACAGATAGGAATGTAGATTTTAATACATGCATTAATTAATTATATAGCAAAAACGAATTTGACGATTAAAAATTCTATACACAACATTTTTCTCAATTTTTTACAAACTGGATTGAGAATTTAGGCCTTAAGAAAAATCATGATCAGATAACCAGTGTATACACGAGAGTGGAAAAAAAGCATAAAGTCTAAACATCCAGCTCTTAATTAAAGCTAAACAGGAGAAATGAAATCCCAGCATCAGTGCCACAGTCCCACCACATGAGGGAGTTGTTCTCATGGAGATCGGGTTTCCCAATAAAAGTAATCCTGGCAGCATTGTAAATTCACAAAAGTGATCTGTTGGTCATTTGACTGTGCTGTAAATCACTGATTCATCCGTCACGATCTGATCAGATCTGTGAAATCAAAACATTCAGAGACAAAGGCGTCAATCAATGACCTTTACAGATCAGTACTATCTACAAATGCAATCTCAACCAATACAGGAGCTAAATTAAAACGGAGTGAGCCTCAAAGTGTCCCTGCTTAATTTCTGATTCTGTTTCTCACCTCATGGCAGCATCCGGATGGTATGTCCTGATGTTGTCGTAATAGCTTTCGCTCTCTTCCTTCATGTGATGCAAGACAGTTACATACTGGATCTCATCTGGATCTTCAGAATCAGAAGCTTTTCCTTTAGTCTGATCTCCACTGAAATTGCTTAGGGTAATTAAGGCATACAGGGGATCGTTTTGATTCGTGGCACCAGATTCAGACTGAACCCTATCATGAGCTGATGCTCCGCCAGTTAAGTTGACATACAGATCATCCTAAAATGAGAGAAAACGACTTGTTACACTTTTTGTTTGCATTTGTTCAATGCTCTTTTGATAATTTGATTTACCTGGTCTTTACTGACGTGTTCAACTCTGTGCTTTTTTTTCCTTCTGCAATAAAGAATTAACTAAAAATGTTCATTTTGTTCACAAAATAAGTCAGCTTGATGTACTAATGTGCTTTCAGACAGAATGAACTTACATGAACACAATGATGAAAACGAAGACCATACCTCCCAATCCACCAGCGAACCCAGCAAATGCATAGCGAAAGTCTCGTCCTATAACAATACAAGTGACAGGATGTTGTGTTTTATCATTAACTAGTATGGCAGAACCAAACAAAAGCAAAATAAAACCAGATCATCCTATAAAATATGATTATTATGAAATCAAATAGCAATTTTGTCCAATGGCGATTCATTGGGGATTCATTTTTAGCCAACTATATAGCTAAAAAAATAGAGTCTCATTAATAAAGTAACCACCTCACCCACAAAATATTGCCACTTTCATTAGGTGAGGTGAAAAATGCAGAGCAAACAGTCAGGGTAGTACATTTGGCACAAGATCAGTCAGGGTAGAGAGTTTGCCTTCCTGTGCACGGTGAGAGAGGATTTCGCCTAGCCTGGATGCCAGCCCGAACTCCGCCCACAACATTTTTTGGACGGGAAGTTCGGTCTGGACTCGATCCATTGAGGAGTGATTATGAACGGTTCAGAAATCATCGGGCCAATCAAATTGCCAGGGCGGGCTTTATACGATGATTGACAGGTGGTCTCCAGTAACGTCATCAAAGTGCGCTTGTCAAAGATGACTGCAGCTGGAGAATTGAGATGTATAGATTCTGCTGTCGCGTCTTTTGTAAAAAAAAAATCGACAGCGCATTCATTTTAATAGACAAACAGAAAACTGCAATCAAGGCATTTGTCGATCGGAAAGATATTTTTGCCGTCCTTCCTACATGATTCGGGAAAAGTGTAACTTATCAGCTGGCTCTGACGGTCGCTAAGAAGATGGGACGTGTGGTCGTTGTGGTTTCTCCTTTGGTCGCACTCATGGAGGAGTAAGTAAAAGAAGCAACACTTGTTATTTAACTTTTAAAATAAATAAAGTAGGCTACGTTCTGTATTTGAAAACTGCGCTATGCAAATGAGTTGACTTATGCGTTGCTCTGATTGGTTGTAGGTCTACCGACTATCCAATTGAGTGCAGAGGTTTTTTTGTCCTGGTTCGGTTACGACACGCCTCATAATCAAAGCCCAATGGAGGAGTTTCAGACTCATATTCTTTCTTGAATACGAGTATGACGAAGTCAGGCTAGATTTCGCCCCATTCGTGGAGTGGGTGGAGTCGCCCCATCTGGCCCAATGGAAGACCCAGTTCACAGCCAGCCATCGCCCCACTGCATGGAGGATATACTAGAGCCCACTGCAGACAAAGCAACGATGAAAGAGCCAGAAGGATCAAAGACTGAGCCAAACATCGCCCCGGAGCCTGAGCTTCGTGAAATGTCTGACAAGGTGCGTGAGCCGGCTACATTGAATGATGACGTGGGATTTCTAGTTGAAAATACCCATATTGAGCGGCAGCTTATTGTTTTTTTATTGTAATTTGAGTTTCTCTTCTGTTTCTCCCATCCCCGCTGGTCTCGCCCTGCTTGTAATCTCCTGTGTCACCTGAGTTCCCAGTGAGCCTCCCTCTCCCTGGTGTGACAGCAATGGGGTTCACAATAGTCCCTTGGCTCCTTCTTTGACACCACTGCACTATATGGATTCGCTTCGAAATCCTCAGTTCTCCAGCATCACCCAGGCAAGTGGATCCCCCGGCTCTGCCTCCAGCTTACTTCACCTCAGTCCTTTAACCTTTCCGTCAGTTCCGCCTTGGCTCCATACTCCCTCGGCTCCACCAGAAACCATCGTCCCTACAGCTCCACCAGGCACTTCTTGTTCCTATGGCTGCCTTGGTTAGACTCAGTCCTGCCTGAGCCATGGACTTTTGAGCCGTCCTCTGCGCTCCATCTCTCTCCCAGCGACTGGCTCCTTCTTCCCTCTTGGTCCTCAGACCCACCAGCTCAACCTCAGTCCTCTGGCTCTACCTCAAATTCTCATCGATGCCTTGGTCTCCGGAGCCATCAATGCTGCATGGGCTCTTCGGATCTATAGCTCCACCTCCATTGGCTCCATCTCCTTCCATTGCCCCCCTGGTGTTGACAGTCCCTCAACTCCACCCTGGCTGCAGTCTGGTTCCCCGCCTGGCTACTCCTGCTTCTGGCACGTCTGAATGGTTACGTTGTGCCTACCCCTGAATGGTTACGTTACTCTCATGTTCCACATCCTCCTCTGGCGTCCCCATGCCGTTTTTTTTTCTTTCCAAGTAACAAAAGTGCAAAATATATTTTTCATCCGTAGCATTAATGCTTGTCCAATCACAAAATGACTGATACACACCTTGCGCAGTGACAGTTACAGTGTCTGATCTCTGAGATCCATGTTGATTGTGAGCCTGACAGTAGAAGCGTCCACTCTGTAGTGCACTGAAACTCTGTCCAGATCCAACAGCTGAGCTTTCATTCTCCTTAAACCAGCTGAAGTTCACAGCAGGAGGGTTTGAGTCACTGATGCACTTCAGAGTCACTGAATCTCCCTCCACTATTACACCAGATCCATTTATCAACACTGAGACGTTTCTGGGTGGGTCTAACACGAAAAATAAATGAAAAATGAAATTTACAATAGCTATTAGAAAATTATGTGTTTGGAAATTTTAATCAATGTGTTGATGATTTTTAACTCACACATGATGTTTAAAGTCACATTATCAGAGTATTTCTCTCCATGTTCATTGATGGACTTGCACTTGTATTCTCCACTGTCATCAGATCTGATCTTTGAGATGATGAAGATTCTTCCAGATCCTACAATCGTTCCTCCTTTAAACCAGTAGATTTCTGCAGGAGGGTTTGAGTCACTGATGCAGTTCAGAGTCACTGAATCTCCCTCCACTATTACACCAGATGGACTGATGGACACTGAGACGCTCCTGGGAGGATCTTAAACAGACAAAAGAAAGGGTATATTAATGTTTTGTGATTGTAAATCCATACATTTGATGGTCACAGTTACTGAACCATCATAAACTCACACATGACGTTTAAAGTCACAGTATCAGAGTATTTCTCTCCATGTTCATTGATGGACTTGCACTTGTATTCTCCACTGTCATCAGATCTGATCTTTGAGATGCTGAAGATTCTTCCAGATCCTACAATCGTTCCTCCTTTAAACCAGCTGAAGTTCAGAGCAGGAGGGTTTGAGTCACTGATGCAGTTCAGAGTCACTGAATCTCCCTCCACTATTACACCAGATGGACTGATGGACACTGAGACGTTCTTTGGTGGGTCTAAAAATGAAAATAATAAACAACCTCAAATCATCTCATTCAAACTCAATCTCCTAATTTTAAAAAGAACTCATGAATCTGTACTCACACATGACATTGAGGTGAACATCAAGAGACACGGGTTTGTGTCCGTCTACAGCACAGCTATATCTGCCTGAATCCTCTCTTCTGACTGGATTGAGGATGAGTGTGTTCCTGAATTTACTTTCATTTAATATCTTCAGTGAGTTTCTGTACCAGATGAATGTTGCTCTGTCAGTCAGAGCGCAGCTGCTTTTACATGTCAGACTGACTGAATCTCCCTCTGTCACTCTCTCAGGAGACTCCACCTGAAGATCTGAACACAACACACACATTATATCTAGTGCTGCTGTCACACACTGATTATTATTCAACATAATGCACAGAAGAAGAGATAAACCTCATCAAAGTCACCTGTGACAGTAAGAGTCACTCCAGATTCACCAGTCCATTTTCCTCCTGTTATATTAGTGACAAATCTGAAATAGTACATGTGTGAATCCTCCAGTGTCACATGACTCAGTCTGACGGTGCAGTTCTGCTGTTTATCTCCCAGATACTGAAGCCTCTGACTGTATTCAGTGTCATTAGACAGATCTGGAGGCTCAACACCCGGTATCAAAGGGCCTTTTGTCCAGAACACTTTCTTGATCTTATATCCAGTAGGGGGGTATGTATAAGTGCATCTCATTGTCACTGTTGAGTCCTTTAGTGCACAGATGTGTGTAGGACTGTAACTCACACCCCAATCAACACTAGAAACCCCTGAAACACAGGAATCATCTCAAACAATTTAGCATCACAATCACCAGCCACATCTGAAATTATTTTCTTAATTCAAACTAACTGCATCTGTAGTGCTTGAGGATGTTGAAAAGCAGAAATAGGTCTGACTTACCCGAAATCATGAACAGCATGAAGATCAGAGGAAGAGGAGGAGCCGTTCTGACTGACAGCAGCAGGAAAACCTACAACACAATCAATACACACACAACCACTTATTTTAGTTTTTGTGAAGGTGAATCACATGAAATTTGGCAAGAATAAGTTCAGGTTATTGTGAGATTTTTTTGTGAAATATAGGCGGGCCTTAGATTATGCCAGGATTAGCTTAGTACGACATTTGAGACGCTTTAATAAAAAAAACGGCGTGCACCTTGAGACAAAACAAGGCACTGAGGGACACATTTATCAGTGCAATTTGCTTTCAGTCAAAACAGTTCAAACATGAATTTTAGTCTGGGACCTTATCTGAGAAACCGGGGTTATAATGTTTTTTGTTTTTTTTTCATATTCCCATTTTCTTTTCTTTTATTTTTTTAATTCACCTATCGGAACAAAATTGAGTGAAAAAACTGGTATTTTTTTATGAAAATGATATTTAATCAGGATAGTCAACCAATGCAAATACAGATTTATCATCTCAGAAATCAGTAAAAATCAATATTTTTGAGACCTGATATTTTATTCATGCACCATCTGAACACATGCAGATAACAAGGATTATTTCTACTTTTACTTTTAATATGTAACATTATATAAATATACTACAAACATAGAAATTCTCTTACCATTTTTTCAGCGATGAAACGATGTGGTGAATCTGAGGTTTACAACCATAAGATGAGCCTTGAAGACGAACTACTGTATTTATCTTCTTGTTTACATTTTACCTCCACTTGCTGCTTCAAACCCAGCTTTGATTAAAACTCTTCCAAGAATACTTTTTGTAACAAGAAAATACCTCATCATAAAATGAACAAGTCAAATGAAGCAGCATTCTTCAGAGCTCGAGAATTAGCCGAACGGAGAAAGAAAGAGGAAGTGAAAGAGTTGAGAACATGCAAAGTTCTTCACATTTACAAAGTATTTTTAAGACGTGGTTTTTTTTGTTAGTGGAACTTTATTTCTTCACAGACAGGATTATTAAACCTTTATGCAAATCCTGACCTGACAGATGGGCGACTGCAACACAGAGACCTTTTCTTGTTCCACAACACTTTAACATTACCACTGTATAATTCTTGAAAAACATTGAGCGGATTGGTTGCGAGAGGAAATAAACTACACTGAAGCCTCCCTGCACTGCACATAATGTTAAATTCCATATAAAATACAAGTTAAATTAATACTGGCAATAATATTCTCCTCTAAGTACTTATTGAAATGTTTTGTATTCAGCTTAAAAATAGCCAGTGCGTCATTACACGGGTCACTGGAATACCTTACTTGATTGTGATTGGCAATGTGATATTCACCCATACTTTTTCTGAATAACGACGTTGCATAATAACTGACCATTCATAATACGTCCTACATAGTTGTGCTTTGTCGCTCCGCTCCACCTATTTATATTACTCCAGTTCGGCTTTCAGTCTGTGTTTCGGTTAGTCATGCACTCTGTTGGAAGTTGGAACCGTTTTCGCCATCGTAGAAGGAATACGAACTAACTTCAAGTTGAAACGTAAGTTACGGACTTGTTCATTGAAATGTTGTTCCGAACAACAGCAAGATTGTGGCAACACTGCAATAGTCATGACTATCCACAAAAGCTGCTTTAAAATATATGTATATTTTATATAGGCCTATTATTTTTCTTCAAAAGAGTGATGCAACCATTGTGACCGTCAGAGGGGGACAGGGAATGACCGCATCCAGAAACGCACGGATGAAATGACACCTTGAATAAGATGCAAACGAACACGTGTTGCTCTTTCAGGAAATGGGACCCATCACCAGTGCAGGAGCACACAGGGGAATGACTGTGGCAACACTGAACAGAGAACTGAAACAGTGAAGCACCTCTAACCAACTCAACAAACACAGAAATGATGCTGTTAAAACAGCAGTTAAGAGATCAGAAGCCAGAGATATGTTCAGAGACGTCGACACCGATTGGCTCAGAAGCGAAAGACAATTGACGTATGCTTTATACCCGCTCTGCAGGTCGGAGTAGATGCAGATCTCGCACGCCAATGTGCATTGGTGTAACCCCTACACCCGGGTCCCACTCCAGCCTCAAACCCGGGTCTCCGGCGTGAGAGTCGGGCGCTCTAACAAGGAGGCTAAAGACTGCAGACTCTAGCGTCTGTCGTTAGAGTGCCGATTGAGATCAGGGGAGTGAGGTTTACTTGCACAGAAACTACTATCTGGTTACCTCCGTTACACTCAACCCCCTAAACCTCACTCTCATCCGGGTCACGGCACCAATGTAACCCCTACACCCGGTTCCCACTCGACCCGCTCCGAGCGGGCCTCGAACCCAGGTCTCCGGCGTGAGAGTCGGGCGCTTTAACAATAACAAGGAGGCTAAAGACTGCAGCCTCTAGCATCTGTCACTAGAGTGCCGATTGAGATCAGGGGAGTGAGGTTTACTTGCACAGCAACAGCTGGCCTCCGTTAAACTCACCCCCCTAAACCTCACTCTCATCCGGGTCACGGCACCAATGTAACCCCTACACCCGGGGCCCACTCGACCCGCTCCGAGCGGGCCTCGAACCCAGGTCTCCGGCGTGAGAGTCGGGCGCTCTAACAAGGAGGCTAAAGACTGCAGCCTCTAGAGTCTGTCGCTAGAGTGCCGATTGAGATCAGGGGAGTGAGGTTTACTTGCACAGCAACTACTAGCGGGCCTCCATTGCATTGGCTCATTTTAACAGTGCTCGAAGACGACAGGCTCCCTAACCATGATCCCAATCAGTCGGCACGTCAACTATGTTAAACGTGAGCGACTGAAAGAGCAGACTGATCTCATGAAATTGCGTGTATGACACGCCAATTCGTATTTCCATTTTTGCGTTCTATCAACACTCGTAATCGCTTTTCAACGTGTTTATGAACGCCGTTGACTTAACGTTACATTACTCTAGATATAAATATATGAGCTACCCCAACCCCATCCCTAAACCTAACCGTCACTGGGGTTAATAGCATTTATGAGTCTTCCCCTACCATCCTAGGAAAAAAAAATATCGCTCCTAAGATGTAGATCTACATTTTACTTCGTTTCACTCGGACATTCAATGGCGTGTACATACACGAGCAATCATTCGGACATTAATGGGGTAGAAATACACGCGTACACGCAGATAGCTGCAAATGCGTATAGATAACACGTCACTTGACTTGAAAGTGGCGTGTATGTTTACTCAAAAGTCATGATGTCATGTTGGAAAGGGAATCTCAGTTAGCAAAAAATTGTATTAATTTAAGCAATGTAGAAATATAATGCAGATACAAATAGCTCATTGAAGTAATGAATACTTGTTTATTAACAAATGATTATGACATTTAGAAAATGTAGCATTGGTGCATGTTGATTCAGAGTTTGCTGAATCCGATTCTCTAGCATGTTATACACTTTAATATTTGTTATGCTGTTAATCTGCTGTATTAAATGACAGGAAAGCGTAGATTTGTACAAGAGCCTAATTTTTTCTTCCTTTCATTTGAAACATAAACAATACTGATGATTAAGGTTAAAAACATTCGAAATGAAGGAAGCTTCATAAGTGATAAAAAAGCATAAAGTAAAAACATACAATTCATTTTATTTCTTATAGAATTATCCTTAAAATACTTGTTATATGTCATGACTCTTCTGTCAATCATTCACTCCTCCCACAAATAGATGCACAGAGGCTGTAATATTTACGGTGTCCAATACACTACAGCCTCTTCGTGTTAGGCTGAATAAGAAAGAAAGTGAAAACATTAATAATGAAATATTTAAATACAAGCATCAACAACATTTGTCAAGAGGAAAGGCAAATAGATTGGGTTCTTATTTTTACTTACTGGAAGATTTTCATACAGAGACGAGTCCAGTTCGGGTTCACAATCATCAAGTTGAGCAGCCTTTATGAATGAAGACAAAGTAAAAACAGGAGTGTGTTATTTCAGTTCCCATTTACTTATTACTCAATATAGATATTTTCACACTGACATTGAGCGTTTAATTTATTTTGGCTGAAGGTGAAGAGAGTTTAGTCTTTTGTAGGAAACACTGACCGTTACATTCTCATACACAGGATCACTCAATTCAACATCATGATCAGGTCGGGGATGATTCATCTTTGCCTTGAAAGAAAAATCAGAATAGAGAGAAAATAAATAATGTCTATAAAGAACTTACTAGATAAAGTCACCGCTACATTCAGACTTTTAATCTTTTAGATACCAATTCATTTAGATACCATATCAACTTCTGATTATTTTTCTCACCTGTGTGTCATTTCTCTTTTTCATCCACCTGCTGCCCCTTTAAAGATAAAGATTTAAAAACAATTACAACCAATCAGAATGTATTTGATGTTTAATACAAAGTACAAACTCTTGACCCTCAATTCATTAACTTCAGATTTTGTTTGGCTGCAGTACTTGAGTTATTACAGCCAGATGAACAAATAGAAAAGGTGATCTGATGGTGATGGCTGTTGTAAGCGCCATTTATTAGTAGCAAGTTTGCTTATGTTTAATATTTGTTACTCTTTAATTCTTGTGTTTATTTGATATATCGGTGCAGCTTTTGTATTGGGACTCTTATTTTGAAGTTGTGTTGGGACTCTTATTTTGAAGCTGTAAGGAAAGAAATCATTAAACGAGTGTGAACGGCGGAGCAACACGGTTGTTTTACTGTCGTTGGTTCTCTCCTATGCCAACTCAACGCGTAAAACTGTCTTATGTCGTTCATACTATGTGGTTATAATAAGAGAAGTAGATAGCCAGTACAGCTGTGTTTTAACATAATCATTAATTCACAATCATTTGACCCTGAATCACTGAATTAATATAGAGCCTAATTTCTGAGTTAGGTTTACTTTATTAATTATAGAGGCAGTGACCTTGTACAGCATAATAGTTTTAATGTCTACAATGTATTCAAAATAATTTCTTAAAAGCTTTTCTTGTAAATTTTTATACTTCTCTACAATTTTAAGACACACAGACATCAATAATTAGCCTGTGAATCTCAACAATGGTGACAATAATAAAGAAGGTTGCATTGCATTCTGGGTGCCACCAATCAAAACTCATCCATGGCTCCCATCATGCATTGCAGCATGAATAAATAATGAGTTTATGTTCAGAGGTGATCTGTTTGTCACCATTGCTGAGATCAGTATGTTAATTATTGATGTATGTGTATGCCTATATAAAATATTTTTGGGATTTTAAAAAAATGTTTTCATCTTTTTCATTGAAAAGGCTAAAAATGGTATGTCCAAAATGACCGTGCTGCTAAAATCCTTAAGGTACATTTAACTCAGAATTTATGCTCTTGATGAGTTATGCTCGTGACGTAGTGTTTTCCAACGCATTTGATAGTTCGGCTAATGGAAACTGGATCTTGGGTGTAGGGGGTGGGACGCAAGGCAGACGACAACATCATGTGTTCAAATCCAAACAACTTATTAACACGCTCCACAGCGCCACCCAGTGCATTTAATTAGAACTGCGAGTTAGTGCTTGGGATTTATCATGGATTCACTGGATTTACTGCCAGCAAAGCAACATAGTAAAATTATAATAGTACTTTATTTTTCGAAAAAAAATTACAGATTGAATATTGATGCAGCCCCTAATTCCCGGTGAAGTCTTGTATGTTGTCTCACTGTTTCCTGTTTCTCCCGTGTCCTAGTTCTCTTGATTCTCTGCCTGTTCCCTTGGATTTCTCGCTTTACCTCAGCCCTGATCTATTATTGTTTGGATTGTTTGATTGCGTATGACCCCTTGCCTGTTATCCGGATTGCGTCTTTGGATTACCCTATTCAATAAATACTGCATTTGGATCCTCAACCTTCGTGTCTCGGAGCAGTTTGAGACAGATATCAAGCATCTAAGACACACATCTTACCAAATCAGCATCATGATGATCACTGCAGCTCCACAAATCACTCCAATGGATGTGTATAATATCAGCAGACTTCCTAAAACTAGCACAAAATGTATAAAACATAATTTTTGCTTCACTTTAGAAAGAGTAATGTAAGTATACGAGCCGCTCTACCTTTTACAGTGACAGTTACAGCGTCTGATCTCTGAGATCCATGTTGATTGTGAGCCTGACAGTAGAAGCGTCCACTCTGTAGTGCACTGAAACTCTGTCCAGATCCAACAGCTGAGCTTTCATTCTCCTTAAACCAGCTGAAGTTCACAGCAGGAGGGTTTGAGTCACTGATGCACTTCAGAGTCACTGAATCTCCCTCCACTATTACACCAGATCCATTTATCAACACTGAGACGTTTCTAGGTGCGTCTAACATGACAAACATTAAAACCATAAACAATGTAATTCAAACACAATCTCCTTATTTTAAAAAGAACAAATGAATATGTACTCACACATGACATTGAGGTGAACATCAGGAGAGACGTGTGTGTGTCCGTCTACAGCACAGCTATATCTGCCTGAATCCTCTCTTCTGACTGGATTGAGGATGAGTGTGTTCCTGAATTTACTCTCAGTTAATATCTTCAGTGAGTTTCTGTACCAGATGAATGTTGCTCTGTCAGTCAGAGCGCAGCTGCTTTTACATGTCAGACTGACTGAATCTCCCTCTGTCACTCTCTCAGGAGACTCCACCTGAAGATCTGAACACAACACACACATTATATCTAGTGCTGCTGTCACACACTGATTATTATTCAACATAATGCACAGAAGAAGAGATAAACCTCATCAAAGTCACCTGTGACAGTAAGATTCACTCCTGGAATACCAATCCATTTATCTTGATTTGTGATGAATCTGAAATAGTACATGTGTGAATCCTTCAGTGTCACATGACTCAGTCTGATGGTGCAGTTCTGCTGTTTATCTCCCAGATACTGAAGCCTCTGACTGTATTCAGGGTCATTAGACAGATCTGGAAACTCTCCCTCATCTCTTACCAGTGTTTTGGTCCAGAACACTTTCTCGATCTGATGTCCAGTAGGGTATGTATAAGTGCATCTCATTATCACTGTTGAGTCGTTCAGTGCACAGATGTGTAAAGGACTGTAAATCACACCCCAACCAGCACTAGAAACCCCTGAAAAAGTCAATCCTGAACAAATTAGCAGCAGCTTGTGCTTAAAAACGTATATAAAGATTCCTGAGCAAGGGTTGCAGAGACTCACCGTGAATCATGAGCAGAAAGATCACAGGAAGAGGCGGAGCCAATCTGACTGATGTCACCATAGCAACAGCTACAACACACATACAGTGGCTTATTTTCAGCTTCAATGTCAGCTTGAAACATAACAACAAATACTACTTTAATTATACAAGAACATGACAACAACAGTCATATTTATACAAAACAGTCATATTTATCATGTTTATACATGACAGCAACAGGAATTTTTGCACTGCATGAGTTTGTAACTGTTCAATGTCTTTCACTTCCCCTTTTGATTGACAGCCCATCACAGACAGAAGGACCCTGCCAGAACGATGGCCTTTGATTTCATACAGAGAAACTGTTATAAAGTACTTTAGTTGACTTTTGTATCAGTACATTGCTAATGTTTTCTATACTCTGGAGCTTGTTGTCTCTGGTGAATATGCAGGTTTATTTGTAAAAGCCACTTTAATATTAGTCTTGGGTATAAGTTGTAGTGACTGTGACTTACATAATTCACCTTTGTGTTAAATGTAGTTCTATACATGGTCGGTGATAAATGCAGTACTTTGCTCTTAGCGTTTGTCCAGAGATCGTGGTCCCTTTGAATGTTCTGTATGGGTGATGACGTACGACGCTTACCAGCGCCTTTTGTTGGCTTGTGGTTTTTCAGACCAAAATAAAACGACACACGTATTTGTGTGCTCGAAGTGAGAAGTTGTTTCTCATGACTTGTTGCAAGTAACTGCAATTTAATCTATCTTCATTACATAATATTAAAAAGGATTTTGTATCAATTTGTTTTTCGCCAATAAAACACTGCTAGAGAAAACAAATGTATGCTATATTGATTTTAAACCATACAGTTACTGAGACACAGCTCTGTGACAACTAGCCCCATAAATCCCTCCACACTTTAGAGATTTAACAGAACAGTTATAAAATAACGCTCTTACCCGTTTCACCAACACCCGTGACCAGCGACAGCACTACAAATGATCCGGATCAAACCAGTATAGGCGTTTTTCTCACTCTGAATGACGTGATTAACACCTTATATTAATGTATGAGCTTATGACGCATCAACTAGTGCAGATCGAGCAGAGGAAGAGTTTTAACAGACATTAGCATTAGCGCCTGTTTCACACATAGGCCTACTCTGTTTGCAGTGTGTATGTGGTGCATATATGGGATACACTGCAATGCGTTGCATCTTTTTACTTAAAGCCCAGTTTAAAGCAAGGACAACTATTGCTTACTTATGGCACTCGTCTCTTCATGCAGGTGGAAAAACAAGTTCCCTTTCATAGTCACTCCGAGTTACGTCGGGATGACGGAGAATGGGGGGTTTCGCATAGAAAGCCAATCCTCTTCGAGTATTAAAAAACGAGCCTATGTCAAAGAAATGCCATGGGTCTGCGGAATTTGCCTAGCGTATCTCCGCCTCACCCCGTGAGTAGAAAAGGAGGAAGCGGACGCCACCGCATTATGTTTTCGCTTCGGAGCCAAGAGCATCTCTTCACTCCACAAGCTACAAGATCTCAGCGCCTCATGCATGTCAATTGCCTCGAGTTGCTGACAGTACGCCTTGCCCTGCACCGCTTCCGGGCGTTGCTCAAGGGTTAACACGTACAAGTCCGTTCAGACAATACCGCGATAGTAGCTTACATCAACCACCAGGGGGGTCTACGCTCTCGCCGTATGTCGCAACTCGCACGCCACCTCATCTTATGGAGTCAGAAGCACCTGAGGTCCCTTCGTGCTATCCACATTCCAGGAGTTCGGAACTGTGCAGCCGACGAGCTGTCACGGCTCCGTCCAGTCTCTGGCGAATGGCGACTCCATCCCCAGTCGGTCCAGCTGATATGGGACCAGTTCGGGGATGCACAGATAGATCTGTTTGCCTCCCATGACTCATCCCATTGCGCCCTGTATTACTTTCTGACCGAGGGCACGCTCGGCACAGACGCACTGGCGAACAGCTGGCCACGGGGCCAACGCAAATATGCGTTTCCACCAGTGAGCCTTCCCGCGCGTACTCTGTGCAAGATCAAGGAGGACGAGGAGCAGGTCATTTTGATCGCCCCATACTGGCCCACCAAGACCTGGTTCTCCGAACTGATACTCCTCGCGACAGCACCTCCTTGGCCTATTCCTCTGAGGAAGGACCTCCTTTCTCAGGGACGGGGCACTCTGTGGCACCCTCGACCCGATCTCTGGAGGCTACATGTATGGCTCGAGGCAGGTTTAAGTACCTTAAAATGACTTCCATGATGTTGAAGTTACATGAACAAATTATGTTTGTTTATCAAAACAAAGTTATGTGCAACCGGTGGAACCTGTTTACATGAAAAAGTTCAGTAAAGCCAACACATCATTTTTTTGAGTGCACTGAGTTCCTGCTGTGTGAACAAATGCAACCGTGATCCTTTTTGATGGTACTCTATAGACCCTTTTACAGTTGGTAAACATGGTGACGTTTTTTTGTGGGCGGAGCTTTGGTGGAGGCAGAAAGATCCATCTGGCCGCTTCACTAACGCTAGTTAGCAAGGATTGTTAGCTTGTTTTTTTAACAATGACTGGAGTAAATCCGATATTATCTTAATGTGTAAGCTCACTCAGTGTCCAGGACCGCGATTGTTATTTTCAAAAGTTATTTTTAACGTACGGAACCAGATTGGCCGAACTAGCCGCCTACAAGCTCACTCAATGCATGGACGATCTGACAGGATTAACGTACGTTACCTCGGTTGACTTCTACACCTACCTTATAGAGAAACCGATCGTAAAGAGAAACTGAGGCATATAAATCTTTAGATGCCTATGTGGTCCTGTACAAGACTTGTGTGTACGATCCGCAGTTCTGCCGAGTCAGCGCCGAGACCACGACAATGTAAAGAGTGACATTACAGTGCAATTTTAATGATGTGAATATTTTCTAGAAATAAAAGTTCCAGATACAGCATACTCATTTTTCATCAATTCTTGCACCAAACAACACAACAAGATGACATTTAATAATAGTAACAATTATTTAAGCTCCTTATTATGTAGCTGAATCTGTGCTGTTTAGCATTGACCGCCTCCAGTTTTCACTTTGTTTCACCTCCAGCTAGCGCCGTGACGTAACTGTGACGTCGGCGCAAAAGGGGTCTATAAGACCATGTTTTCTAAAATCCTCAGTCTCACTTCCTCTTTTGTGTGAACTAAATCGTAATATAAATACCAGGCAGAAGGTCGGGGCAGGTAACAGTGAGAGTTCGAGAACCAGACAGAGGTAACGTAGGTGGCCGGCAGACAAGGAGATATCAAATACAGATGGAGTCACAAACCATCAGGCAGTCACAGGAATAAACACTCAGTCAAGTTCACAGTAGCAAAACAAGACTTCGCACAGAGAGCTGTGATCAGCGCAGCTATAAAGCCTGATAGATGAGCAACAGCTGGGCATAGTAACAGAGAATGTCTAATTGAAGAGAATTGGCACTGGCTGGTTACTTCCGGGTTCTGGACAGGCAGTGACGCGTCTCTGTCCATGCGGGGGCGCTCGCGGTCGAGTGCAGAATGAATGGGAGTCAATGGGGTTTCACGCCCAAAAATCCACTTTTCTCAGGATGTAATTTTTTCGTCAAGTAATTTGAAAGTTGCATTCAAAGGGGAGGTCTAAGATAATACACTCAGCTGAAAATTGCATTTTTGAGTTCACTTATCTGTTCAAAAAATCCGTTCAAAACTGTGATGATGTCACACAATAGCAGAATGCTAGCGCGCTCCGGCCAACAACGGCCTAACCTGTAAGACATCGAAAGGACATAAATACTCGTTCATTCGACTTTTGGCCTATAATCTATATTGAACTTGCGGAATCAACAATAAAATCTGTGTTGATTTAACGACAAGCAGGTGAAAGAGACACATTTAGCCGTTTAGCCCCATAGACTCCCATTCATTCTGCTCTCGCCCGTGATCACCTCTAGTGGAATTCTAATGGAACTGCAACCAGGATGATACACAATGGGGCTAATAGGAAGTGCCAAGGCTCTCCGTTAGATGGGCTCTGATAGTAATCAGAGTCAGAACTGGGGCTATTGGGAAACGTAGTGTGCACTGGGAAGAGTCAATATTCGGGCGAGGGCGCCCACCTCTGATGGCCAGAGAGGGAGGTTACGGAGAGCTTTCTGGATGCAGATGCATATGTGGAGACCTTGCCGGAAACTGTCCTTTTATGGACTTGTTATACAATGTATTCTTTTGATATGATGTCATGTATTTATTGGCTGAAGTTACTGATTATTACTTACTGTATACCTCCCTAGCACTGTTATTATTCACATTCAACAAACAAAATGAACGAAAAAGGATTTGTTCATTTTGATGAACGAGTTCGAACAGGAGAGTCACGAACGCGCATCACAGAACAGAGCAAGGCGAGCATTTGAGCTTATAAAACTTAAACTTTGTTATTTATTTATTAAATGAGCGATCATTTCACTTAATAAGATCCTTATTCATCGTCTGGAATCGTGCGTGTACAAAACGACTTATATATATATATATATATATATATATATAGATATATATATATATATATTTATATATCAGAGATATTGCAAAATGGCACCCCATGCTATTCTTTTTTTAGCTGCAGAAAAGCGAATTACTTTTTAAGAAGCATTTAAAAACTCTTTGTTAGGTTTTGTTTGGAAAGTTAGGTTATTGTTGATTGTGGGTAACCATTGCTGGCTTCTTGTTTATTTTAATCCACCTATGCTTTTCGTATTTTGTTTATTACTTGTATTTTATTATACTTTAAGTGCTTTGAGAAGCTCCTATAAAGTGTGGAATATTACACTAGATGCCTTGAGCCTTATTTTTTTCTGCCTTTAATTGGAAACATGAACAAAAACATTAATAATCTCAATGAAGTAAGATTCATACATGATAATAAAGCATAAAGAGAAACACACATCCTAGTGATTTACAGTTTTACATAAATGCATTAACCGTCTACTTTAATTATCACACATCCATCTATAAAATGATCCCTTAATAACTTCAGTCACATGTCATCATGGCACTCCTGTCAATCATTCAAGGCTCCTCCCACAAAGAGATTCATGAAGGCTGTTTTCTGTCCAATACACTACAGCCTCTTCTTAGGAAGAATAAAAAAGAAAGAAAGTGACAACATTAATAATGAAATATTTAAATAAAAGCATCAACATCATTTGTCAAGAGGAAAGGCAAATAGATTGGGTTCTTATTTTTACTTACTGGAAGATTTTCATACAGAGACGAGTCCAGTTCGGGTTCACAATCATCAAGTCGAGCAGCCTTTATGAATGAAGACAAAGTAAAAACAGGAGTGTGTTATTTCAGTTCCCATTTACTTATTACTCAATATAGATATTTTCACACTGACATTGAGCGTTTAATCTATTTTGGCTGAAGGCGAAGAGAGTTTAGTCTTTTGTAGGAAACACTGACCGTTACATTCTCATACACAAGATCACTCAGTTCAACATCATAATCGTTGCGTCTCTCATGATCAGGTCGGGGATGATTCATCTTTGCCATGAAAGAAAAATCAGAATAGAGAGAAAATAAATAATGTCTCTAAAGAACTCACTAGGTAAAGTCACCACTAAATTCAGACTTTCAATCTTTTAGATACCAATTCATTTAGATACCATATCAACTGACAACTTCTGACTATTTTTCTCACCTGTGTGTCATTTCTCTTTTTCATCCACCTGCTGCCCCTTTAAAGATAAAGATTTGAAACAATTACAACCAATCAGAATGTATTTGATGTTTAATACAAAGTACAAACTCTTGACCCTCAATTCATTAACTTTAGATTTTGTTTGGCTGCAGTACTTGAGTTATTACAGCCAGATGAACAAATAGAAAAGGTGATCTGATGGTGATGGCTGTGTTTTAACATAATCATTAATTCACAATCATTTGACCTGAATCACTGAATTCATATAGAGCCTAATTTCTGAGTTAGGTTTACTTTATTAATTATAGAGGCAGTGACCTTGTACAGCATAATAGTTTTAATGTCTACAATGTATTCAAAATAATTTCTTAAAAGCTTTTCTTGTAAATTTTTATACTTCTCTACAATTTTAAGACACACAGACATCAATAATTAGCCTGTGAATCTCAACAATGGTGACAATAATAAAGAAGGTTGCATTGCATTCTGGGTGCCACCAATCAAAACTCATCCATGGCTCCCATCATGCATTGCAGCATGAATAAATAATGAGTTTATGTTCTGAGATGATCTGTTTGTCACCATTGCTGAGATCAGTATGTTAATTATTGATGCCTGTGTATGCCTATATAAAATATTTTTGAGATTTTAAAAAAACGTTTTCAACTTTTTCATTGCAAAGGCTAAAAATGGTATGTCCTAAAATGACCATGCTGCTAAAATCCTTAAGGTACATTTAACTCAGAATTTATGCTCTTGATGAGTTATGCTCGTGACGTAGTGTTTTCCAACGCATTTGATAGTTCGGCTAATGGAAACTGGATCTTGGGTGTAGGGGGTGGGACGCAAGGCAGACGACAACATCATGTGTTCAAATCCAAACAACTTATTAACACGCTCCACAGCGCCACCCAGTGCATTTAATTAGAACTGCGAGTTAGTGCTTGGGATTTATCATGGATTTACTGGATTTACGGCCAGCAAAGCAACATAGTAAAATTATAATAGTACTTTATTTTTCGAAAAATAATTACAGATTGAATATTTATGCACCCCCTAATTCCCGGTGAAGTCTTGTATGTTGTCTCACTGTTTCCTGTTTCTCCCGTGTCCTAGTTCTCTTGATTCTCTGCCTGTTCCCTTGGATTTCTCGCTTTACCTCAGCCCTGATCTATTATTGTTTGGATTGTTTGATTGCGTATGACCCCTTGCCAGTTATCCTGATTACGTCTTTGGATTACCCTATTCAATAAATACTGCATTTGGATCCTCAACCTTCGTGTCTCGGAGCAGTTTGAGACAGATATCAAGCATCTCAACCTTCTGTCTCATTCACACACATAAGACCAAAGACACACATTTTACCAAATCAGCATCATGATGATCACTGCAGCTCCACAAATCACTCCAATGGATGTGTATAATATCAGCAGACTTCCTAAAACTAGCACAAAATGTATAAAACATCATTTTTGCTTCACTTTAGAAAGAGTAATGTAAGTATACGAGCCGCTCTACCTTTAACAGTGACAGTTACAGCGTCTGATCTCTGAGATCCATGTTGATTGTGAGCCTGACAGTAGAAGCGTCCACTCTGTAGTGCACTGAAACTCTGTCCAGATCCAACAGCTGAGCTTTCATTCTCCTTAAACCAGCTGAAGTTCACAGCAGGAGGGTTTGAGTCACTGATGCACTTCAGAGTCACTGAATCTCCTGCCCAGATCTGACCGGACTGAATGATGGACACTGAGACGTTCCTGGGAGGATCTAAAACAGACAAAATAAACTCTACATTCATGTTTTGCGAATGTTAATTCACTCATTTGTTTGTTACTACAGTTACTGAACCATCATTAACTCACACATGACGTTTAAAGTCACAGCATCAGAGTATTTCTCTCCATGTTCATTGATGGACTTGCACTTGTATTCTCCACTGTCATCAGATCTGATCTTTGAGATGTTGAAGATTCTTCCAGATCCTACAATCGTTCCTCCTTTAAACCAGCTGAAGTTCACAGCAGGAGGGTTTGAGTCACTGATGCAGTTCAGAGTCACTGAATCTCCTTCCACTATTACCCCAGATGGACTGATGGACACTGAGACGTTTCTAGGTGCGTCTAACACGACAAACATTAAAACCATAAACAATGTAATTCAAACACAATCTCCTTATTTTAAAAATAACTCATGAATCTGTACTCACACATGACATTGAGGTGAACATCAGGAGAGACGTGTGTGTGTCCGTCTACAGCACAGCTATATCTGCCTGAATCCTCTCTTCTGACTGGATTGAGGATGAGTGTGTTCCTGAATTTACTCTCAGTTAATATCTTCAGTGAGTTTCTGTACCAGATGAATGTTGCTCTGTCAGTCAGAGCGCAGCTGCTTTTACATGTCAGACTGACTGAATCTCCCTCTGTCACTCTCTCAGGAGACTCCACCTGAAGATCTGAACACAACACACACATTATATCTAGTGCTGCTGTCACACACTGATTATTATTCAACATAATGCACAGAAGAAGAGATAAACCTCACCAAAGTCACCTGTGACAGTAAGAGTCACTCCTGGAGCACCAATCCATTTCACATCAGGTTTATCAGTGGTGAATCTGAAATAGTACATGCGTGAATCCTTCAGTGTCACATGACTCAGTCTGACGGTGCAGTTCTGCTGTTTATCTCCCAGATACTGAAGCCTCTGACTGTATTCAGGGTCATTAGACAGATCTGGAAACTCTCCATTATCTTTTACCAGTGTTTTGGTCCAGAACGCTTTCTTGATCTGAAGTCCAGTAGGGTATGTATAAGTGCAGTTCATTATCACTGTTGAGTCCTTTACTGCACAGATGTGTGGAGGACTGTAAATCACATCCTCTTTCTGACTACAAACCCCTAAAAAAGTTAATACTGAACAAATTAGCAGCAGCTTGTGCTTAAAAACGTATATAAAGATTCCTGAGCAAGGGTTGCAGAGACTCACCGTGAATCATGAGCAGAAAGATCAGAGCAAGAGGCGGAGCCAATCTGACTGATGTCACCATAGCAACAGCTACAACACACATACAGTGGCTTATTTTCAGCTTCAATGTCAGCTTGAAACATAACAACAAATACTACTTTAATTATACAAGAACATGACAACAACAGTCATATTTATACAAAAACAGTCATATTTATCATATTTTTACGTCAGCAACAGGAATTTTTGCACTGCATGAGTTTGTAACTGTTCAATGTCTTTCACTTCCCCTTTTTATTGACAGCCCATCACAGACAGAAGGACCCTGCCAGAACGATGGCCTTTGATTTCATACTGAGAAACTGTTATAAAGTACTTTAGTTGACTTTTGTATCAGTGCATTGCTAATGTTTAAATGCAGTACTTTGCTCTTAGCGTTTTTCCTCATAATTGTCCAGAGATCGTGGTCCCTTTGAATGTTCTGAATGTGTGACGTACGACGCTTGCCAGCGCCTTTTGTTGGCTTGTGGTTTTTTTATACCAAAATAAAACGACACACGTATTTGTTGTTTCTTGCAAGATACTGCAATTTAATCTATCTTCATTACATAATATTAAAAAGGATTTGTTTTTCGCCAAACAAAACACTGCTAGAGAAAACAAATGTATGCTATATTGATTTTAAACCATATAGTTACTGAGACACAGCTCTGTGACAAGCCCCATAAATCCCTCCACACTTTAAAGATTTAACAGAACAGTTATAAAATAACGCTCTTACCCGTTTCACCAACACCCGTGACCAGCGACAGCACTACAAATGATCCGGATCAAACCAGTATAGGCGTTTTTCACACTCTGAATGACACGTGATTAACACCTTATATTAATGTATGAGCTTATAATGCAACAACTAGTGCAGATCGAGCAGAGGAAGAGTTTTAACAGACATTAGCATTAGCGCCTGTTTCACACATAGGCCTACTCTGTTTGCAGTGTGTATGTGGTGCATCTATGGGATACACTGCAATGCGTTGCATCCTTTTACTTAAAGCCCAGTTTAAAGCAAGGACAACTATTACTTACTTATGGCACTCGTCTCTTCGTGCAGGTGGAAAAACAAGCTCTTTATAATGCGCAGGATTTCTTATATAAAGCCAATCGATTATAGGCATAAACACTAAACTGAGAGAACCTTTACATCAATCAATAAAGATGCTAATGTAATTGTGATAACGATGCAACAGACACAATAAGTGTTAATATTTTGTGCATGAATGCAAAAGTAAGTTTGCAATTCTTAATTATATAGTCGATGATGTAATAGACTGGGGTGAAAGGCAGTAATGTGATTGGTTCGTAGTTCACGTGACTCAGTGTTACCAGGAAGCTCAGCTGTGTATGTGTGTTATTGCTGCTATCATTTGGCAGTTATCAGTAAAGGTTATTGAGTTATTGCAACCACCGTTTCCAGTGCATCATTCAAACCACAAGATATTACAGATGAGAAATTAGTTTGCTCTTGTAACTGAGTTATTATGTCTTATAGAGCAGACATAGTGGCACCATACATGCTTTGGAGTGCTTAAAAGGTGTCAGGTTACAGTTGTGCACTGCCTACAATAGGGTGACCACCATCAAACAAACCAAATGTGGGTCAATTATAAGTTTGTGTGGGACAATGTGGGACATGTTACCAACACTAAAACATACCCTGAAACGTCTCGGTTACGTATGTAACCCTCATTCCCTGAGTAGGGAACGGAGACATTACGTCGGATGACGGAGAATGGGGGGTTTCGCCTAGAAAGCCAATCCTCTTCGAGTATTAAAAAACGAGCCAATGGCAAAGAAATGCGGAATTTGCATAGCGTATCTCCGCCTCACCCCGTGAGTATAAAAGGAGGTATGTCTTCGCTGAGGAGCCGAGACTAAACTCAGGCGTCTACCCAGCGGTACAGCGGAAGTGGCAGGGAGACTAACGTCTCCGTTCCCTACTCAGGGAACGAGGGTTACATCCGTAACCGAGACGTTCCCTTTCGTAGTCACTCCGAGTTACGTCGGATGACGGAGAATGGGGGTCCCCCGTGTAATCACGCCACCTTCACAGCTGTCTTCCAGTGCCCTGCGCAAGTCTGAACCCCTGTCGCACTTAGCTTACAGATGAGGAGTCCTACTTGACACAGGAATACCAAGGTACACTAGGGAGCATATCCCAGGGGAATATGCCGCAGTATGCCTACCGTAGGGAGGACTTACGAATACACATATGGCCCCGTGGGGCTCCATATGAAAGATACTGGAGTGAATAACCCGTAGGGTGGCTAGAATCTTAACTCCAGGGTGGCAAGGTGGCTTGCCGAGGGAAGACACATGCTCAGAGAGGCTTACAGTGGAGAATACACATGTGGAGGTTACTAGCAGGAACCATGCACACGGAGGCACCTCGCCGACGTCCAGGCAACAGATACTGGCGCCAGCATCAGCAGTGCTGGAGGACTCAGGGCTTCAACGGAAGGCTCAGCTGAGAAGAATTCGCACTTATCCAGTTGGTGGAGTGGAGTGGCGAGCAAGCGAAGACACCTGAGCGGGTCCAGTACTGGCCGGTTGAGCGAGTACAAGAGAGGACACAGGCTCCACTCAGAGGTTATAGAATCTTGCGAATGTGTTAGGTGTCGCCCAGCCTGCAGCTCTGCAGATGTCTGCTAGTGAGGCGCCATGTGCTAGAGCCCAAGAGGAAGCCACACTCCGGGTGGAGTGGGCCGTCACACCAAGGGGGCACGGTCGATCTTGCTGCTGGTACGCCAAAGCGATGGTGTCCACTATCCAGTGAGACAGCCGCTGCTTTGAGAGAGCCCCCACCACCACAACTGCTTTGAAAGAGCTCCCACCACAACAGACAAAGAGCTGGTCTGAGGTCCTGAAACATCGCATTCTGTCTACGTAAGCATGGAGTGCACGTACTGGACAGAGCAGTGCCAAGGCTGGGTCTGCCTCCTCCAGGGGCAGCGCTTGCAGGTTCACCACCTGGTCCTGGAAGGGAGTGGTAGGAACCTTGGGCACATATCCAGGCCGGGGTCTCAGGATCACGTGAGAGTACCATCTCTTGATGGAGGCCAGTGCAACCAGGAGCGTTGTCTTCATTGACAGGAACTTAATCTCAACTGATTGCAGAAGCTCGAAAGGAGGCCTCTGCAGGGCACTTAAAACCACTGAGAGGTCCCAAGAGGGTACGAGAGGAGGGCGAGGAGGATTCAGTCTCCTCGCTCCCCTCAGGAACCTGATGATCAGATTGTGCTTCCCCAATGACTTACCTTCGACTGCTTCATGTAATGCGGCAATTGCAGCCACATAAACTTTCAGGGTGGAGGGAGACAGCCTTCGCTCCAACCCTTCTTGCAGGAAGGAAAGCATGACACTGATCGAGCATCTCCGGGGGTCTTCTCGGCGAGAAGAGCACCAGTTGACGAAGAGGTTCCACTTCAACACATAGACGTGTCTAGTGGACGATGCTCTAGCGGAAGTGATGGTAGCCGCCACCGCAGGTGGCAGGGTACTCAAACCTGCCTCGTCCCATCCAGGAGCCACACGTGTAGCCTTCAGAGATCGGGACGAGGGTGCCACAGGGTGCCCCATCTCTGAGAGAGGATGTCCTTCCTCAGAGGAATAGGCCAAGGAGGTGCTGTCGCGAGGAGTACCAGTTCGGAGAACCAGGTCTTGGTGGGCCAATATGGGGCCACCAGCAAGACCTGCTCCTCGTCCTCCTTGATCTTGCACAGAGTACGCGCGAGAAGGCTCACTGGTGGAAACGCATACTTGCGTAGGCCCCGTGGCCAGCTGTGCGCCAAGGCGTCTGTGCCGAGTGTGCCCTCGGTCAGAGAGTAAAACAGAGCGCAATGGGATGAGTCGTGGGATGCGAACAGATCTATCTGTGCATCCCCGAACTGTTCCCATATCAGCTGGACCGACTGGGGATGGAGTCGCCATTTGCCAGAGACTGGACAGAACTGCGACAGCTCATCGGCTGCCAGGTTCCGCTCTCCTGGAATGTAAACGGCATGAAGGGACCTCAGGTGCTTCTGACTCCATAATAGGAGGTGATGTGTGAGTTGCGACATCTGACGTGAGCGTAGACCACCCTGACGGTTGATGTACGCTACCTTTGCGGTATTGTCTGAAAGGACTAGTACATGGTGACCCCTGAGCAGCGCTCGAAAGCGGTGCAGGGCAAGGCGTACTGCCAGCAACTCGAGGCAATTGATATGCATAAGGCGCTGGGGTCCTGTCCAGGAACCCGCGGCTGCATGACCATTGCACATGGCTCCCCAACCCGTGGCAGATGCATCTGTGGAGACAACAACATGCCTGGAAACTCACTGCAGAGGGACACCGGTCCGCAAGAAGCTGAGGTTCGTCCATGGGAAGAAGGTTTGACGGCAGGTCGGAGTTACTGGAACTCTGAGCGTACCGCGATGCCATGCCCACCTCGGGACTCGATCGCGAAGCCACAGCTGAAGCGGTCTTATATGAAGCAATCCGAGCGGCGTTGCCGCGGCTGCGGATGCCATATGCCCCAGCTGAAAAAGTTTCAGTGGGACCGCACTCTTGCCCTCGAACTGTCGAAGACAAGTCAGCAGTGAGTGAGCGCGCTCGCTCGTAAACTGCACGGACATGGCGACCGAGTCTATCTCCATACCGAGAAAAGAGATCCTCTGCACGGGGCAAAGGTTTAGGGTCCTCTGCTTAGGGTTGCCACGGCTATGCCACCCTACGCTATGCAAATTCCGCAGACGCATGGCATTTATTTGCCATTGGCTTGTTTTTTTAATACTCGAAGAGGATTGGCTTTCTAGGCGAAACCCCCCCCACATTCTCCGTCATCCGACGTAACTCGGAGTGACTACGAAAGGGCACTGTTATATAATGTCTATCTAACTTTATAAAAATATTTATATTCTGCCTTTCAGCTGAAAAAAATGATTTGCTCTTTAGAAAAAAAAGTCATCAAAACATTGGTCTCGTACGGCAGAGAAAAAAAATAGGAGAAGCTCTATGCGTGGTCAGCTCCCAACTCAACTGTGAGAATAGATTAACGACGATATTTTTTTTATCGCCCGACAAGTGTCTCACGTTAACGCAGCACGTTAACGCCGATAACGGCCCACCCCTAATATATATATATACAGTATATATATATATATATACGTATATATACTGTATATATATAGCTGGTTTCTTGTTTATTTTAATCCACCTATGCTTTTCGTTTGATTCATTTCGTATTTTGTTTATTACTTGTATTTTATTATACTTTAAGTGCTTTGAGAAGCTCCTATAAAGGCACTATAGACAATAAGGTTATTGTTATTATCGCCGCATGTTCTCTGCTTGGCTGCAGTATCGCTCCGGTCGAGAGATTGAAAACCCGAAGTGGAGCTCGAGTGGTCTCGTTTCCGTCAGTCACTCCACAACTTGTTTCAGTTGGAAATATTTTAATCGTCTTAGAAGGAATAAGTTGAAACATAAGTTGCTGTATATTAGGGATTTTTTTTTATAGAAATGTTGTTATTGTTGATTTACTGAATGACAGAAAAGTGTGGAATATTACACTAGATCGAGCCTTATTTTTTTCTGCCTTTTATTGGAAACATGAACAATACCGCTACTCACGGTCAAAAACATTAATAATCTCAATGAAGTAAGATTCATACATGATAATAAAGCATAAAGAGAAACACACATCCTAGTGATTTACAGTTTTACATAAATGCATTAACCGTCTACTTTAATTATCACACATCCATCTATAA